TCAAAGGAACGCGTTGCGCCGACGACGACGACTGCTGCCATTGACAATCGTGCGAAGACTACGCGGGCACTTTGATCTTACTTTTTCGGCAGCAGGTGGAGAGCGCAACAGGACATATATTCAGTAGAAACGAGACAGCGCGGCAAAGGAATGACCTAATGCTTCGAGCTCAGCTCAGCAGAAGACTACGCGGGCACTTTGATCTTACTTTTGTCGGCAGCAGGTGGAGAGCGCAACGGGGCATATTCAGTAGAAGCGAGGCAGTGCGGCAAAGGAATGACCTAATGCTTCGAGCTCAACTCAGCAAACATCTCTCCAGTTTTCGACCACAGATCATGTCCAGTATTCCAGAATAACCACTGGGCAGAACGGACGCGATCATCCCAAGAGCGCTGGTTAATCGCAGGGGACCTGCTCCCCATTACAGCGCGCACATGGCGCCAGATTCGGTCGATAATCTGCGTGCCACCCTTAGTACAGATGACGCTCCCGTCGGGCATGCGGTGGCGGAATAATTGAACGTACTTGGGTCGCGACCACTTGCCATTGACTTTCTTTTTCTTGTGAACCACGAAGTCGTGAATAATCCGTCAATGATTCTCTTCCTGTTGGCCCCCATCTTGTAGGAACGGGCGCCGTCGGCATGCAAGAACACGCAGCGACCGCGCAACCACTTCGCCGCCTGCGGTCCCCAATCTTTTTTAGTGATTGGCCCAGGGCCTGGTGATCGCACTTTCGTGGTCTTCGGAGACGCCCTGAACATCACCAACGAAGATGGCGCGCCTCTCTGAACAATCCCACCCCACTGGTGCCACTTCGCCCGCTTGCAGCGCCCGGCGTCAACAATTTCCTTGCTTAGATCAACCTCGTCTGCTTCCACGTCATGCCACGTCCGATTGTCCCCAGCTCCGAACTTGATCTTCGGCTCCTGCATTCTCACGAAACGAGAACGAGCAGCGTCCAGACGCGATGCGAAGCGTCTCACGTACTTCTCATCATGATCCCACAATAAATGGCACTGCGCTGTCGCCAAGCCAACAGTGATCCCCAATAGTAGTTTTGCCTGCGATACCAAAGACTTGTAATCCCTGCCCCACCCCGTAGTAAAAACCATGTGATTCGCATGTGGCAATATGTGTTTCTGACAGCCCTTGGCGTTGCACCTGTAGCTGAGAGAACCGCCGTCCCCAGAGCGTGGTCCCCGAAATTCCAGACCCCTGTGGGCTGGAAGTCCAAAGACCACGCTCGGGGGGCGTCCTTCTTATCGATTGGATGGTTTGTGCGATACCCTCAGACCGCCAAGATACACGAAGGAAAGCAGAAGAGCCCCCCAAAAAATGCCCCCCCGAGCGTGGTCTCGAAATTCCAGACCCCTGTGGGCTGGAACTCCAAAGACCACGCTCGGGGGGGCGTCCTTCTTATCGATTGGATGGTTTGCGCGATACCCTCAGACCGCCAAGATCCACGAAGAAAATCGGAAGAGCCAAAAAAAAAATGCCCCCCCCGAGCGTGGTCCCCGAAATTCCAGACCCCTGTGGGCTGGAACTCCAAAGACCACGCTCGGGGGGGCGTCCTTCTTATCGATTGGATGGTTTGTGCGATACCCTCAGACCGCCAAGATACCCGAAGAAAATCGGAAGAGCCAAAAAAATGCCCCCCCGAGCGTGGTCCTCGAAATTCCAGACCCAGTGGGCTGGAACTCCAAAGACCACGCTCGGGGGGGCATTTGTCTCATCTACTGGAGGGTTTGTGGGATACTCTCACAAGATATCATCAGACAAATGAAAGACAACTACATATGCCCGCCAAGCATGGCCCTTGAATTTGGAAGCCTTCGTTTTGTATTGTACACCGGGCTGCAATCTCAAAGGCTGTGCTCGGAGACACCTTGGGTTGCGTCATCCTTGTTTTTTTTGAGGGCGCGAATTCTATCAGAAATGCTCCTCCGAATTTTGGTTTCCAACAGCGCGAAAAACCAGAAAAAGCTGAAAAAAACAGAAAAAGTGGAAAAAAAAAAACAAAAAAAAAACAGCTGGAACCTTGTGTTTTCACAAGGATCACCTGTTTCGGAGCCTCAAAATCAAAGGTTTGACTGTGAAAACATAAGGTGTTCTTTGATTTTTGCTGGTTTTACTAAGAAAAAACGGTAGTTGGGACAGGTGATCCCTGTGCCTGCACAGGGATCACACTTAGGCCTTACTGCTTTTTCTTAATACAACAAATAAAAACCAAAGAAAACCCTGTGCTTTCACAATCAAACCTTTGATTTTGAGGCTCCGAAGCAAGTGATCCCTGTGAAAACACACGTTTCCAGCTGATTTGTTTTATGTGTTTTAAGTTTTTTGTTTTCCTGGTTTTTCAGCTTTTTCTGGTTTTTCCGCCTTGTTAAAATTGTGGTTTCCAACAAGGCGGAAACAACAGAAAATCCGAAAAACCAGAAAAAAAAGCTGCAACAAAATATAAACAAATCAGCTGGAACCATGTGTTTTCACAGGGGTCACCTGTTTCGGACCTCAAAATCAAAGGTTTGACTGTGAAGACACAAGGTTTTCTTTGATTTTTGCTGGTTTTACTAAGAAAAAGCGGTAGTTGGAACAAGTGACCCCTGTGCCTGCACAGGGATCACACTCAGGCCTTACCGCTTTTTCTTAATAAAACTAAAAAATGACAGAAAACCCTGTGTTTTCACAGTCAAACCTTTGATTGTGAGGCTCCGAAACAAGTGACCCCTGTGAAAACACATGTTTCCAGCTGATTGTTTTATTGTCCTGTTATAAAGAAATGTTTGTTTTAAATGTGTTTTCTGCTTTTTCTGTTTTTTTTCCGCCTTGTTAGAATTCTGGTTTCAAACAAGGCGGAAAAACCAGAAAAAGCGATGAAAAAACAGAAAAAGCAGAAACCTCAGAAGAAAATCAGCTGGAAACCTTGTGTGTTCACAGGGATCACTTGTTTCGGAGCCTCAAAATCAAAGGTTTGACAGTGAAAACAAAAGGTTTTCTTTGATTTTTACTGGTTTACTAAGAAAAAGCGGTAATTGGGACAGGTGATCCCTGTGCCTGCACAGGGATCACACTCAAGCCTTACCGCTTTTTCTTAATAAAACAAAAAACAAAGAAAACCATGTGTTTTCACAATCAAACCTTTGATTTTGAGGCTCCGAAACAGGTGATCCCTGTGAAAACACATGGTTCCAACTGAATTGTTTTATGTTGTTTTCCCGCTGTTTCTTGTTTTTTTCCGCTTTTTCTGGGTTTCCCGCCTTGTTAGAATTCTAGTTTCCGAATCAGCCCGAAACTGGAAAACTCACCACATATCCTCAGCCAAAGAGCCAGAGCAAAGGATCACACGAAAGGCAACACATTAGGCAACGGAAGAACTTCAAGGAAAGACAACACAGGAAGCAGCACAAAGGCAGCAGCAACACCAAGCCGAAGAACTGAAAGGTAGATCTCAGGAGCCCCCCCTACCATATATATATACATACATGCATGCATGCACACATACATACGTTCACATATACTTACATACATACAAACATACATACATATATACAACCACCTATATATGCATATCGATACACACATACATATAAATACATGCATGCACGCATACGGACATACATACATACATACACACATGCATACATGCATACATTCATACATACATACATGCATGCATACATACATACGCACATACCTACCTACCTACCTACCTACCTACCTACATACCAACGTATCTACATACATGCATACATACATGCATGCATGCATGCAATCATACATACGTGCATACATACACACATACACACATACTCACATACACACATGCACATACACATGTATACATACATCCATCGACACATACATACATACATACATACATACATACATACATGCATACATACATATATACAAACAAACAAACATACATACACACATGTATATACATACACACATAAACCCAGACATACACATTACTTACATACATACATACATGCATACATACATAAATACATATATGTGTATACATACATATCCACCGTCTGCCGATGTCCCCGAACCTGGATGCTCCAGGGACTGGTGTCATGGATAAATCCCTGCCTCGGACAAATGAGGGGGGAGGGACAAGTTCCCTTTTCGGGCCCTAAAGGGCACCCTTCTGTACCCTAAAGGGCTCCTTTTCGGCAGCCCTCGCTGCCACCCAACTTATCGCCCCCCCATTACGCGTCCTCCGAGACCTCCGGCTGCTGCCAGCCCTGCTGCAGAACGCCCCACCACGATTTCAGCTTTGAACTCCCAGAACGCACAATGAGCCAAACGCATCGTGACACTACTCAAGAGGGTCACGCCATCCTGCCGCCCTCCATGACTCCAAGGAGAAAACACTGCAACTGCGTAAACAGAACCTCTTGGAGATCCGTGTGAATTTCTCGGGTCTGCGTCTGGGCCCCCCCTGGCGGCGCCTCCGGCGCCGCCACTGACGCGCTCCGCCTGCCAAGGAGGGGTGTCCACCGCCCCTGCATGGCATCCACGCGGATCTCGGAAAATGCTGGCGTATGTGAGCATTCCTCCTCGATCCTCTGACCTCTGGCATTAGGTCGGGCATGCTACTCAAACATAGAAAAAGTCGTCCCCAGACAACTTGTTTTAGAAAACTACTTTTACCAATTCCTCCTGTAGAGGGACGTGCCCGACTTAACTCTGGCATGAGAAGGATGGGTCCTGGTGGAAACGGGCCCTGGAACCAGGGGGGTCACTGCGGGACCAGCCCCTCATCCGTGGTCGCTTTGGCCGCCCCGTGGCCCGTGGAGGCCCCGAAACACGAGGCCACTGCCGCCCGATCTGGCGACAGAGCCTGCCGACTCTGTACTGAAACGGGGCCCGCCGCTCGTCCGCGCGCCTGCGTCCATGTCTGCGCTTCCTCGGCGAGAAACGGCGAAACGCCTCCAAGCCCCCTCGTCTACAGGCCCAGCCCCCCGCTTGGCCCGTTCTCCTGGGAACTGCGGCCGCCGGTCGCGTCCTTGCAGAAGCAGGCGAACCTGTCGTACTCCTGCGACTCCGCCGTGCCCTCCTGGTGTTGGCGGGCGCCAGCCACCGGGGGGGAAGGGGGGTGCCAAACTCGTTGTCGTTGACGGCGACATAGTTGTGGAAGTCTTTGGGCGCGTCTGAAGTGCTCGCGCGGAAGGATGAAGAGGAGAAGTGGGAGGAGGAGCAGGAGAAGGTGAAGGAACCGTTGGTATGGGTGCTCTGGGTCTGTCGAGAAGCGCGGAGGGGCACCACCCCCAAAAGGGGTCAACCGCGCCACGTCGGCGCCGCCCCGTGGGGGGGGTGGACGACGTTCGATGGCCCTCGCTAATGTTTGGGTCAGCGCTGATTGCCACCATACTCAGGGGTCCCAAGACTGTGCGATGACCTCGAACTGCCCCACGGCCTCACCGCACGGCCCGCCACCGCACACCGCTTGGGGACCCTGGAAGCCCCCGTCGCCCGAGACGCCCTCGGAGAACGGCCCCAGTGCCAAAACCGTGCGGCCGCCCCGACTCCCCCCCGATTCTTCACGCGGCGTGGTCACCGCACCGCTTGCGAGAAGCAATGTCCCTCAAGGGGGGCCGGCTCAAGGAGAGGAACGTTTAGCTGGAATCGGCGACACATCGCCGACTGATCGACGATGGGTGGGCTGTCGGGCCCCTGTAGGCGTTGAGTTGGGGATTGGGGGTCGTTGCCCCTCCCCTGAGCCTGTGCCCCCCTTCCCGCTGCCCCCGAGTTGGGGGGCACCCGAGACTCCCTGGGGCTTCTGGGCCCCGCGGTGGGGCGGCCTGCAGGCCAGCCTGGGTCTCCCGGGCAAGGCTGAGACCACCTGAAGGCCAGGGTCGCCTCTGGCAGCGCCGCGGCTGGGTGGCAGGCGCGGCAGGCGCGCGTGCGATAGGAGTGGAGAGTGGAGCAGCACCCTGACAGTCAGCACCCCCACCAGTGAAGCCGTGAGGAAACGCACCCTGGGAAGGGATCGAACAGGGCAGGGCTGTTCAGTAAACGTCCAGGGCCGTTTAGCAAACGCCGACTTGCCGTCGCTCGGACGTCCATTGCCCGTGCATGTCTCGGTCTCGAGCGTGTTTGTTTGTCGCTCGATGCTCAAGGATGCTCGATGGTCCTCGCCGAGGAAACATGCACACGTCCGAGCGATGCCCAGCCGATTGCGGGGGTCGGGGTGGTGTCCCGCCCCCACCCGCAAGGGCACTGGATGTCGCCCAGGCGTGTCAGCCGGCCGTCGCCACCGGCGCACCGCACAAGGGAGCAGCACGGGGTCACCGCGGACCTCGCCCAGGGCCCGGGTGGTCGCGGCGCGGGAGCGAGCGCTGGATCCGCGCGCGCGCCGCGTCGTCGCCCGCGCGCGCCCCGGAAGGCGTGGCGGTGGAGGCCGTAGCCTCGATATGGGAAGCAACGGTTCGGCGCTGCGAAGCGTGGGCGTCCTCATTCCTTCTCCATCAGTCAATACGTCGAGGCCTACCAGATGGGGTCCGACTAGGAAGGGGTCGGAGGATCGCGCCGCATCGCCGATGCGTTGGCGATGCGCCAGCGACATCGGCGATGCATCGGCGACCTCAGCGTGGAGAAGATCGGGCTCAACATCACATCGAGCCTGATCGCCGATGCATCGCGGCGCGATCCTCCGACTCTCGGACCCCACCTTGGAAGCTTAGAGAACATCGCAAAGATCCGATGTCTTTTGAGCAGGGACCGACCGTCCCGGCATTCCTATAGTCCTACCACGAACTGTTCTTAGAACCCAGCAATGTTCTAAGAACAACAACCATGTTCTTAGAACATAAACCCGATGTGATAAAACAAATCAGTCCCAATCAGACATGTTCTAAGAAAGTATCGTGGAAACCACGAAAGGTTCTTAGAACATTGTTTGGTAGGCCTATAGGTACGCCGGGACGCTTCGTCACTGCTTGAGTCTTGATTGTGTTCGATGCAAGATCCCCGAAATCTCGACCCACTCCCGGGGACCGGCCTGTCATTCTGACTAGCTGTCTGACGGTCCTGGGGCCGGGCGAAGGCCTCTAGAGGCCAAGAACGGGGGAAACAAATCCGTCGTGACTCGTTTGTTTCGTACTCTGAATCTCTGGGATGGAGGCACGATTCACGGGCCCCATCTGGGAGCCCTAGGTCCACGTCACTTCCACCACAGGTGCATGCCACTTCCACCAGTCACTGAGTACTGCAGCCCAGATCCATCGCTGATCCATCCAGAGCGGCGCAGGAGGCGGTGCCCGAAATCGGGGGGGCGTCCAGGAAAAAAGGGGACATCGAAGAGGAGGCGGCGCCACCGCATTGACACAAGAATCTGAGCCATGAACATCTGGGGAGGTATCATGGCCCTGACCATGATATCCACACACGCCTGATGCAGTGATGGCTGTGACTCGCAACAGTTGCAAGGTGGTTGCAATCCACTTGCAAGGCACTTGCAAATCCGCCTAGCTGCTCCAAGTTGGAACCGCGACTTACTCAGACTTAAAACAGTTCGGCACCTTGCAACCAACTTGCAGGCGCCTTGCAAAAGGGTTGCAACCAACTTGCACATGTTGCAACTGTTGCAAGTCGATCCGACAACTACAAGTGTCATCACCCTCGGGCGGGACTAGGACGAGGACAAATCCGTTCCAGAGCGTTCAAAAACGCTCTCAGAGCGTTCCAAAGCGCTCTGAGAAGGCCGCGGCGCCCGAGACACCCTCCAGAGCCGCTGGATCCCAGAGATTCCCGATTTATCCTCACCGAATGTTGTCCTCGACCTGGTCTCGTCTTTTACCCCCCTCTTGGACGACCCCGAAGCATGTGCTGCAGCCCAGATCCACCGGAGTGGCGGCGCAAGAGAAGACGCCCCCACTGGGATGACCGTGAGGGGTTCTAAGTGGATAGGGGGGTGACAAGTAAATACTAAGGTGGGCTATATCTGACCCAAGCTGGCTTATGAGTGGGCTACAAATTCCCCGTGGGCGGAGCCCACTTAGCCCGGGTGGCTAACCCCCCTAAGCTACCTGGGGCCTTTGTAGCCAACTAAAAGCCAGGGTGGGCCAGATGGAACCCACCTTGGCATCCACTTGTAACCCCTCTATCCACTTAGTAGTAACAGTAAAGCTAAGCTAAAGCTAAGCTAAAGCGAAGCTAAAGCTAAGCTAAAGCTACCCCACGGTCATATCAGCAGAAAGCCTGCCCACGCCGCCCCGGGAAGTCCACGCGCGGGTCGTGCACGGGAGCCGCGGACTGGGTGCTGCTAGAAGTACCCAGGGCGGCTCGAAAGCTTATACCCCTTCGGTGGCACGTCGGGGTATGAGCTTCTCCGCCGTCCAGGGGCAGACGTCCCCGACGGCGGAACATTCAACATCAGAATTACCTTTCTTCATCCGCTGACGGGAAGGCGTCTTCTGTCAGACTCTGGCGCGTTTACTCGCAGGGCCCCCCCCGGGTGTTGCTAGAAGTGCCCCATGACCCGAGGTGGCCCCAGGATTTCCAAGGATGCCCCCACGGCCTTCAGAGCACCCCTCGCGAGGCACAGGGGGCCCCAGGGGTCTCCAAGATCGAGCGAGAAGCTGGGGGCACCTTGGGGTCCAGGGGCACTTTTAGCAACCCCCCATCCGAGGGTCCCAACAGTCCTTGCGGCTTTGGGGGTTTCGTCTGGACTTCGTCGGATTTGGTGGGCGTTTGGACGGAATCTGGGCGAAAGAAGGGCGGTGGACATCTGGACGAACTCTGGTCGAAACCACGTTCACGACAGGGCCGCGGAGGTCCGCCGAGGCTCTCCTGCAGGCGCACCCGCCGGGACTCTGCGAGGCGTGCCGCGGGCAGCGGGCCTGCTGGGCGGGGGGAGGGTTCTGGGCAAGCTCTGTAGGGCACCTTCGGCGACCGGGCGCAGGGGGGAGTTCCAGGACCCAGGCTCGGCGATCGGGCGCGGTCGGCGGCAAGACGGGGGGGGGCTCTAGGCTGGTTCTGCTCAGCAACTTGCCTCAAATCGTGGCGTCGACAAAAAACGCGACAACTGGCTTTTCGCCATCGTCGGCCTCCAGAAGCCGTTTCCCAGCCCCGGCACCGTCAAAAGACGACTCGGGATAAAACGCCAGCCCCCGGGGAGGTGGCGAAGAATTTATTTCCAGCGCAACTATTTCGGAGAGGGGGAAGGAGGGCAGAGGGCAGAGGGGAGGACGCGAATCATCGATGAAAAACATACCACTCGTCTCACTCGGTGCACTGTACGACTACCGGCTGAAAGCGCACAAACCGACATGAAACCGAACTGACTGTAATAGCAATTTCCCGCGTCCTTCGCGCGGATTCTTCAATGGAATCGCGGATGACATGTAAACAATCACGGCGGTCGGAAAGGATACGTCTGGGGGCCATGCCACCCTGACGCGAAAGCAGCACCACAGGACGTGACAAGGGGCAGGGGAAGGGAAGGAGGAGAAAAGGAGGAACACACAGGCAGACAAGTAGTAGGCTGCCCCCATCAGGCACGAAAGAGGCAACCGCAATGGAGGAGGGGAGGAGGAAGGCAAAGTGCGCTGAGACCGCAATGCGTCCGCTCACAGCCGAGAAGGACGCAGCATGCTGAAGACTGTCTGGGTGAAAAGATAGCCCTGCTGGGACCGCAGGCGGCCAGCAAAAGAGGACAATGCGGGCTCAATGGCGACTCCCTGGGCCGGGAGCGGTCGGCGAGACTGGGGGGCCCTCCACCAGCCACCTCCGCGCGCACCAGCGCTAACGCCAATTAGCGCACGGAATGCGTACTCCGCGCCCCGAGGAAGAGGGAGGAGGAAGGGCGAAACAGAACGCCTCTGGCGGCCACCGCACTGCTGCAACGTTGTGTCGTCCAGCCGGCCTGAACCACCTGGCCCGGAACTTAAACGAGGGAGGAAGGAGGGGAGCCGAGAGGGGGAGAGGAACGAACAAAGCGAACGCCGCTTACACCTGCGCGCCCTCCAAGCGGTCGCAGAGCACTACATCATGAGACGCGCGCCCGTGCGTGCGGCGCGCCTCCGAATGCCAACAGCACGAATGCACAATGTTCGGCATGGGGGTGCGCAGTTCAGATAAAGCCCCCCCCTGTGGGGGGGCGCAAGCCTGAGGGCAGGGGGCCGCCCCCCAACGACGACAACGACGACGACAACGACTAACGACGACGACGACGAGCACGACGACGACCACAGGGAGGCAGACGGGGATGGAGAGAAGACAGAGGCCGAGAAGAGAAACGGAGAGAGGGAAGGACAGGAAGAGGAGGGGACGGAGGGAAAAAGGAAAAATAAGGAAACGGTCCTCTGGCCCCGAGCGTAGGGCCCCCTCGGGCAGGCAGGCGGCTGGCGCCAGCCGGCACCCAGCCCACCTGGGTCGGACAAATCGTGCCTCCCCTGGCAAGAAACGACGGCGCGCGCGTGACGCCATGGGCAACGCGGCTGGGACAGCACACGGCCCCCAAAAGATCCCAAACCGACGGGCTGGCATCCCCCAAACCAGCCGCCCGAAAAGAGACGAGGCGAAGGAGGGAGAGCAGAGGACGAGGACAAGCGAGGGAACGAGGGGAAACAAAAATGCTCAGAATGCCGACAACTACTCTGTACTCGACGCCGCCTCCCAGAGTGTTCGTTAGGAACACGCCCGTACCTCAGTGACTTGTGGGTCGGGTTCAGCGCGCGCCAAGCCCTGCTCCACGCGATGGTCTCCGCGTCTGGCCAATCGAAGCCCAGGGAGAGGTCCAACTCCCGCCCCGCGCGCGGCGGCGTCAGCCCGGCGCCTGCTGCTAGGAGCCGGCGCGCCACGGAGCATCGGGCGACATGCTGCACCCCGTCGGGCCTGCCAGCGCAACCGAATAGACAAGGAGCTCGGCCGTGGGAGTTATGGCTGGGGCACCAGAGTGTCCGCAAATAAGCAGCAGTGGCCCGAAGCTCGCCGCCCGTCGCTTCTCGCTATAGCCGCGCAGCCCGGTGCAACCGGTGCCCGGGAAAAGTAGCGATTGGCCAACGGTTCAGGCGACGTCGCAGATGCCGCCAAGCCAAGCCGTTGCCGCCCGTCCAGGCCTGCACCTGGCGGTCTGCCTCAGACAGCTGGAGCAAGAAACATTGCGAGCGCTAGCGCGGTAGCCAGGCCTCGCGACCCAGCGTCTCGTCGCCCCCCTGGCTGGTCATCGCCGCCATTCGCGCGGCGCGCCGATGCACATCCAAGCGCCCGCCGTCTTCGAACTGGACCGCCTGGGCCTTGGCGGCGAGCGCGGTCGCCTCCAGGTCCTTCAGAGGCTATTCAAGCAGTTGGTAGTCATCCACCCCGGCGGGCCTGGGTGGGAACGTGGCCATGCAGGCGCTCTGCTCCGCGGCCGCGAACTCCGGCGGCAGCACGTCGAGCTGCACCACGAAGAGGAGGACCGATGCCACGTGGATGCCGTAGGCGCGCGACGTGATGAAGGCCCCGGCACCGATCTGTTTCCAGATGCGCGCCCTCTCTGCGTACGACAGCGGGGCAATCCACGCGCGATGCCCGCGGTCCAGGCCGAGGTAGAACCCCAAATGCTTCGCCGAGCCAGCAATTCCCAAGCTGCCCCACTGCGGCACCGCCGCCGCAAGCTCCCGCCGGAAGTCAAGTTCAGTGAAAGCGTCGCGGGGCACCAGCACTGTCTTAAGGACATTGCGGCCCGGCCCGGAGATCCGGCCGAAATCAGCGAAGAATACCTGCCGCGCGGGGAGCCTCAACAGCGCCCCCGGCAGTGCCATGGCCAGGTCGTCGGCGTAAGCGCGGAGCGTGGCGCTGGGGCAGAGACGGACGAGTCTGCGCAGGAATAGGTCGGACACAACAGCGAACAACAATAGTGATAAGGACATCCTTGACGAATGCCCATCGAAATCTCCATGACGGCGTGCACCGACCAGCCCACCGCGATTTGGCAATGATTCTGCCAATACAGACTGCCGACGACATTGAGGAGCCACGTCGCCCAGCCGAGTTCGCGGAAAAATGAATGAAGAAACCCGTGTTCAATCGATGGGAAAGCCGCGGCGAAGTCGAAGAAGAACGCGCACGCCCCCTCCGCCCGCATGGCCCCCGTGGTCATGGCTTCATCCACATCCGGAATGTTCGCCAACATGGACCTCCCGGGCAAGACCCCCGCTGGCAACCCGCGATGCGCTGCTCTACGGGAGGCGCAATCGCAAAACGGACCGCGCTCGCGATCAGGCGATCGTCCGTGCTCGTGATGTTCAGCGGTCGCACGCTGCTTAGGGTGAAAAACTCGACGCCCTCCTCGGTCCGGTCCGCCGCCGACTTCGGCAGGAAGATGAGCAGATGAGCAGGCTCGCATTGAAATCATCAACTGTCCCGCTGCAAGAAAGTGTGAGCGTCGTCGCGGCAGCAATCCAAGAGCGCTCCATGCAGGACGTCCACGGCCAGATGGCCCAGACGCCGCAAGGCAGCGTAAGGCACCCCGTCAGGACCTAGCGCAGAATGGCTGGAGAGACGCACTGCCCGCTGCACGTGGCCCCGCCTGGGGCGAATTCGTCGAAGGCCCTCGTGCGACGGGGTTTGGCCCGCGTCTCCGTCCACGGCGGTAGCGTCAGCGGATGCACGATTCTCGGCGTCCTCCGTGAACCACTGCGCCAAGAGGCCCTGGTCGATTCCGCGACTGCGGAAACCCCGCGACCAATGCTTCCGGAGAGCGGCAGCCATCCTCTCGGTGCCGTCGCGTCACCACCGTCCGCGAGCTGCACCGCCTTCACGCTCGCGCTGCGCCCAGGCGCCAGCCTGTACAAGAGCCTGGCATATTTCTGCTTTGCCTGGGCTGCCCGTGCCACGTCTCCTGACTTGGCCGCCTCCGAGGCCTTTCGTCGAGGGCGTGATCTCTTGCCAATTGCATTGCGTGGTCCCTGATAAAACGCAGCCGGCGCTCCAGGTGGCCGTCGACCGCGTACGGGTTGTCCACGAGGGTGCACAAAAAAATGTAGCCGACCAAACTCACGGAAATCTCTCCCATGGCACTCGCCTCCACCGCGCGGAGATACTTCATGGTAAGGCCCAACCTGTCCTCGTGCTGCACCGCGGCCTCACGCCGGCCCTCTGCGATCCCCAGCTGCTGCCCAACGCCGAACATGGCCTGCTTAAGTAGCCGTAGGCGGCGCAGACCCGGAAGGTGGCGTACAAATTGTAACGTCGGAAGAGACTCAGGCGCGAGGTGGGGCTCCAACTCACGCTCGGCGAACGCATGCTGAGTAGATTGCTTCAAGGGGGAGGGGCTTTCGGGTATCTAACCACAACGCCGCGCTCTGCGCCCAGCGGAAACAGTTTAGACTCCTGTCCGACGACCCTTCAACCTGCGCCGAGGATGAGAAGCCGATGAGCACGTTGGAGGGAAAATTGAACTGGGAGCAGGAAGCTGAAGCCAGGAGCCGATAACGATGAGATGCGAGGGTGGGAGACAAGCCGATGGGATATGGCGCACACGCACAGCACTTGACTGGAGGAGGACTACTGGCGATGCAGAAGCGCGCATTCTGGAGGATGGGGAGAGGAGTTGAACAACAGGAGGGCTCCTGCTCGATGTTTGCCTTGAGGTCGTCGAGGAGCGTGAGTACCTTCTCCACTGGCGTCACGCCTCCGAAGGGGGCTGGGGTGTGCCCGTGCTCGTAGTGCCCACGCGGACGCTTCCGGGATACTGCCGCTGTGCTACCACAAGGGAGCGCCGAACAAAGAGCGAAGGGGCTTTTCTGGCCACGGCGAGTCTCAGCCTCGAATAGCGGCCCGAAAACCATAGCCCCTCCTGAGCCCTAAGTGGTCCAGTTGTCCTTACTTCAGCGTCTTGACTGTATGGGCCGAGCAACATGGAGATGCGGGAGGGGAGGAGAGTGGAGGGGATGTGCTTCTCCTCTTCCTTCTCCCGTCCACTCCTCCTCCGGCTGTAAGCTAAATAGAGGGAGGGAGACTGTGTTGAAGGCGCTCAGGGGAATTTGGAGAGCTGGTCATCCTCCTTCTCGAGGTCATCCTCCTTATCGATGAGGGTCTGGACAAATGCCTTCGGAAAGTTTTGGGACGCTCTGGTGGTAAGGGGGAGGGGGGACTCTGGGTAAAGAATTCTCGGAGCTACTGCCACTGTTCCTCCACGTTTCTCATGCCCTTCTTCCTGATATTCCTGCTCATCCCCCTCGCTCCTTCTCATCCACCCAACTCCAACTCCAACTAACTCTTCCTCCTCCTCCTCCCCAACTGAGGAGGCGAACCCGCAGACGCCAAGGATCCACCCGCACCAATCCTGATCGGGCCAATCATATGCAAGCTGTCAACCTCCTGCCCTTGCCGGTAAAATGGTAACGGTAGGTTATCGTCGACATTGGCCCTGGTTCCTGACACAGCGTGAGTTGATAATCTTGAACGATCTCCGCCCCAACCGTACGCAGAGGCTATCGAGCCAAACTGAACAGGCTTCCAGCTTATCCCTACCCCTAAGATTGACAATCCCAAGGCGATGACAACCTCAGCGATGTGCCCTCGGAAATAACACCCGTCAAACGGCAGGCTTCTCAGCCTCGGGTGCCCGCAACGCCGACGCGGCGCGAACTTGCCGTGACGCCTTTGAAGGGCAACGGCAGGGGGGGGGGACCGGCTCAGTGCGGGAGGGATGCATCGATGTGGAATCGGCGACGCATCGCAGATGGATCGGCGATGAGGCCCCGACGGCGAGACCGCACGCTCCGCTCCTGGGCGGGGCGGGCTGCCGGGCCCCATGTGGGCGATCAACGGGCGATTGGGGGTCGATGCGTCCCCCCCTGAGCCCATCCCCCCCGAACGTTGCCCCCGATTGTTCGACAGGCCGGCCACTGGGCCCTTCGCGAGCCCCCGGCCCACCACTCGTGCGGACGCTGCGCCAAGGACTGTCCTCTCTCGTGGGCCCCCCCTTACCCCGGAGTGGGGTGCGTCGAGGAGGGTGGCCAGGAAGAGGGGGTGGGGCGCAACAAGAGACTCCCAAGAGGCCCTGAAACTGCTCCCAAGAGGCCCCCGAGAGCGCCCCGAAGAGGCATCCCTGAGAATTCTGAGGGCCGTGAACACCTCACAGAACAACCACAACACACCGAACACCTGTGACCGCGAAGAATTCAGGCGTAGGCTTGGGAAAACCAAGAGACACCGATACCACTTCACAATCAAGCTACGGCCATCAGAAACACCACACAAGGAACGAACCCCTTATTTGCCCCAACAGCGCCTGGGTGCAAAAGGAGCGCTGCTAGAGGAACGACCACGAGGGGCCGAAAAGGCAATAAGCCGCTTCCGAGTCCGAACTGCTCCTCATTTCAGCGTATTAGCTGTACTTTGAGGACACCAGCTATCCGCCACCTCGCCGCTGGGCACAGATTGGGCGTATCCTCAGGTCCTGGGTCCAATCCATCAAGCCTTAATCCTCACTCCTGAGGAATCTTTCAGGGGCCCCGACCCCTCGCTCTCAAATCGTCTTGGGATTGGCACGTCTTCTCGCGTAATTTTGTTCGGGCCTAAGAGGGGCCCATAACCCAGGGACGGTGGCGGGATAGGCCGAAAGCCATTAGATCCGCCGCCCCCTGCTTGCAGGGGTGCCTGGCGTGTTAGATTTTATCGGTTTTGGTTTTGGTTCTTTTTCTAAAAGAACTCCCCAGTGGGCTTCGGCCCGTCCCGCCGGCCACCCGGAAAGGATGCCCAGGAGCTCAATTCCCCAATTTCCTGCCCCAGACGGTTCCAAGATGGCCTCCAAGATGCCTCTAAGACGGCCAGGATGGTCTCTAAGACGGCTAAGATGGCTCCAAGATGCCTCCAAGACGGCCCAAGATGCCCTCCAAGACGGCCAAGATGGCCCCAAGATGCCTCCAAGATGGCCCAAGAGGCCTCCAAGACGTTCTCCAGGAGAGCCCGAAGAGGCCAAAATCATTGGTTTTCCTTAGGTTTTTGAAGGTTTTTTGCGTTTTCTTCTTTTCGGCCTTCCGACGGCCCAAGAGGCCCCCAAGATCGCCCAAGAGGCCTCCAAGAAGGCCCTATGACGGCCCAAGGGCCCCCCAAGACGGCCCCAAGAGCGCCCCAAGACGGCCCAAGAGGCCTCCAAGACGCCCAACATGGCCTCCAAGACGGCCCTGAAGCGCCCCAAGAGGGCCCCAAGACGGCCCAGAGAGGCCCCCAAGACGGCTCCAGACGGCGTCAGACGGACCAGGAACGCCCTAAGACGGCCAAAGAGACCCCCAGGAAGCCCCCAAAGGCCCCCAAGAGGCCCAAGGAGGCCCCCAAGATGCCTCCAAGAGGCCTCGAAGAGGCCCCCAAGAAGCCCCCAACAGACCCCAAGGGTGCCCCAAGAGACTCCTAACAACCCTCATCCTCCTACTCTATTTCTTCCTCTTCCTCTTCCTGTTCATAATCATTCTCTCCCATGTGTTCCCCGAAAGCTTTCCAAACCGACTCGGGGAACTCATGGTCCGATAGCTTGGCCAAGCTCTAGTCCAACTTTCGGCCACATCGGCGTTTCCAAAAAGGCAGGGGGCGGCGGTGATTCGCCGTAGGCGTCTTCGATCCGCCGCCCTTGTTGGCTTTCCACACGGGTGCCTGGCGTGCTAAACCCTATCCTCTTGGTGTTCGTTTTTTCCAAAAGAACCCTCCCCTGGGCTTCGGCCCGTCCCGCCGGCCACCCGGAAGGCCGCACAAAGGACCCCAATTGTCGGAAAAAGCATACCAAGGAAGCTCGCGATGGCTTTGAAGATCGCCACATTGGCCGAAGTCGGCCTCCAAGATGCTTCCAATACGGCCACGACCTCGAAGACAGACGGTCCCAAGATGCCTTCAAAACAGCCCAAGAAGCATCCAATACGGCCTCAGATAGTCACAAGATGGTCCAAGACGGTCCAAGAGGATCCTAAGAGACCTCCAAGACAGCCTACGAGGCCTCCAAGAGGTTCTCAAGGAAGGCCCGACGAGGTCACAAGCATTGCTGTTCCTTAGGTTGTTGAAGGATTTTGGCGTTCGTGCCTCCCGAGGCTTTCCGACGGCCCAAGAGGCCTCCAAGGTTACCCCAAGATCGCTCAAGAGATTTCCAAGAGAGCCCTAAGACGGCCCAAGAGGCTCCCAAGATGGCCCCAAGAGGGCGCCAAGACGGCCCAAGAGGCCTCCAAGACGTCCAAGATGGTCTCCAAGACGGCCCTAAGGGGCCCCAGAGGGTCCCAAGATGGCCCAGTGAGGCCCCCAAGACGGCTCCCAACTGTGTCAGACGGGACAGGAGGCCACCAAGACGGCCCAAGATGGCTCCAAGATGGCTTCAAGATGGTCCAAGACAGTCCAAGAGGCCCCCCAAAGGCCTGCGAGACAGCCTAAGAGGCCTCCAAGAGGCCCTCCAGAAGGCCCGACGAGGCCAACATCATTGAGTGTCCTTAGGTTGTTGAAGGTTTTGGCCACTTGCTTCTGTTCGGACTTCCGACGGCCCGAGACGGCCCAAGAGCAATCAAAGATCGCGCCAAGATCGCCCAATAGGCCTCCAAGATAGCCCCAGAACGGCCCAAGAGGCCCCCAAGACGGCCCCAAGACGGCCCAAGAGGCCTCCAAGACGCCCAAGATGGCCTCCAAGACGGCCCTGGAGCACCTCAAGAAGGCCCCAAGTCGGCCCAGAGAGGCCCCCAAGACGGCTTCTGACAGTGTCAGATCGGCCAGGAGGCTATCAAGACGGCCCAAGATGGCCCGAAGATGCCAAAATCATTGATTTTCCTTTGGTGTTTGATGAATGCTGGCGTTTGCTTCGTTTCGGTCTTCCGACGACCCGAGACGGCCGAAGAGCCCCCAAGGATCGCCCCAGGATCGCCCAAGAGGCCTCCACGATGGCCCCAGAACGGGCCAAGAGGCCCCCAAGACAGCCCAACAGGCCTCGAAGAGGCTCCCAAGATGGCCGCCAAGACGGCCCTGGAGCACACCAAGAAGGCCCCAAGTCGGCTCAGCGAGGCCCCCAAGACGTCGCTCGACGACGAAAGACGGGCCAGGAATGCCTTAAGACTGCCAAAAAGGCCATCGAAACGCCCCCTACAGACCCCAAGAGGCCCAAGGAGACCCCCAAGATTCCTCCAAGAGGCTCCCAGGAAGCTCCCAGGAGGCCCCAAGAGTGCCCTCAAAGGCTCCCAATATGCCCCCTCCTTCTCCTCCTCCTCCTCCTCCTTTTCTTCCCCCGCCATCCTCCCCCAAGTGTTCCCCGATTGGTTTCTACAACGGTTGGGGGAACACATGGCCCGATAGCCTGGCAGAGCTCTTGCCACAACGCTCGCCCACATGGGCGATTCCAAAAGGCAGGGGGCGGCGGTGGTTCGCCGTAGCCGTCTTCGATACACCTACACCGATCCTGGCCAGGCCAAGCCTGGGCCCAGGATCGGCCTGTTCAAGCTCGATGCTGGACTTTAGCTGGTGCCCTCCGATGTGCGCCCCGGACCTCTCCCGGAGTGCGTTCTGATCCAGCTGTGGCGACGAGGGCCTCCTAAGAGGCCCAGACAAGCAAGCACGAGGGATGGATTCCCGAACCTCGTGTTACCGATCCCCACCCCTGTCCCCACTGACGTGGGCTTGGCCCCACTAGCCGACTTACTGGGATGACCGTGGGGGGTTCTAAAT